CTGAGCTCGTCGACTTTGCTGCTCGCTGTCGTCTCGACTACGCTGCTAGTCTTGTTGCTGAGTCTGCGTCTGTCTGTCCTCCGTCCGTCGGGGGTGAGTGTGCTCTTGGCACGGACGTCCTAGAGGACAGGCAGGAGGAGTTACAGTGTCTAGCGGCTGCTTCACCTCATCTCGCGTCTGTACTGCTTGCCCCTGAGGGAGACCCGGATGCACTAGACATCCCGACTCCGCGTTCTTACGCGGAGGCCGTAGAGGGTCCCTACTCCTCTCAGTGGCAGGCAGCTATGGATGCAGAGATGGCTTCCTGGAAGTCCACAGGCACCTACGTTGGCGCGGTTCCCCCTCCTGGGGCGAACATCGTCAGTGGCATGTGGATCTTCAGGGTGAAGCGGCCGCCGGGCTCTCCACCTGTCTTCAAGGCACGGTACGTTGCTCGTGGCTTCAGTCAGCGGCAGGGAGTTGACTACTTTCAGACCTTCTCTCCCACCCCGAAGATGACTACTCTTCGGGTGCTGCTGCACATAGCCGCTCAGCGCGACTACGAGCTTCACTCTCTCGACTTCAGCACTGCGTTCTTGCAGGGTAGCCTGCACGAGGAGATCTGGCTTCGCCGTCCACCTGGCTTCACTGGGACTTTCCCTCCTGGCACCCAGTGGAGCCTCCGACGGCCAGTCTATGGTCTCCGCCAGGCACCGCGTGAGTGGCACGACACACTGAGGACTACGCTTGCGGCTCTTGGGTTTGCTCCTTCTACTGCTGACCCGTCGCTGTTTCTTCGCACCGACACTTCCCTGCCGCCGTTCTACATCCTCGTGTACGTCGACGACTTGGTCTTTGCCACAGCGGACACTGCTGGACTCGCCTACGTGAAGTCCGAGCTGCTGAAGAGACACACGTGCACAGACCTGGGTGAACTGCGCAGCTACCTTGGCTTGCAGATCACTCGGGACAGAGCACGCCGCACCATTACCTTGACTCAGTCACACATGGTGCAGCAGGTCCTTCAGCGCTTCGGCTTCACGTACTCCTCGCCTCAGGCCACTCCTCTGCCTACTCGCCACTCACTCTCAGCTCTGCCTTCGGATGAGTCCGTAGAGTCGAGTGGTCCGTATGCAGAGCTTGTTGGCTGCCTCATGTACCTGATGACCTGCACACGACCTGACCTTGCATACCCTCTGAGCATTCTTGCACGCTATGTTGCTCCTGGGAGACATAGACCGGAGCACATGGCTGCAGCGAAGAGGGTATTGCGCTACCTGTGCAGTACGTCGGGCATGGGGCTAGTGCTTGGAGGGCGGAGTCCAGTGGTCCTTACCGGCCACGCGGACGCCTCTTGGGCGGACGACCAGGCTACGCAGCGGTCGTCACAGGGTTACACCTTCAGCCTTGGTTCCGGCTCTGTCTCGTGGCGGTCTACTCGCTCGTCTTCGGTTCTCGGCTCCAGTTGTGAGGCTGAGATCTACGCCGGGGCCATGGCTGCACAGGAGCTTCGCTGGCTCACCTACCTGCTGACTGACCTTGGAGAGCCGCCTCGTTCTCCTCCAGTGCTATACGTAGACAACAAGGCCATGCTGGCCTTGTGTCGAGAGCAGCGCTTGGAGCACAGAACGAAGCACATTGCTCTCCGCTACTTCCTTGCTCGTGAGCTGCAGCAGCGTCGTCAGTTGCGACTTGCGTACGTGGCCTCTGAGGCCAACACTGGTGATGTGTTCACCAAGGCACTCGCGCCTTGTGACCATCAGCGCTTTTGCACCCAGCTGGGTCTTGTACCTGTCTTGCCTCACTTGCTCTCCTCTTGACTTCACTTGTACTGTGACATATATATATACCTGCTCTTGCTTGTCTAGTTTTATATATATGCCTGTACTCCTGCATGTGAACTGGCCTCTGGCCCTGCTCTTGTGCTCGGACTGTGTGGTGACTTTGTGATCCACCCTGAGCTTGCTTTGCTTTGCTTTGCTTGACTGGTCTTGTGACCCCTTGTTCTCCCCCACTTAGCCTATGGGGGTGTGTCAGAGTATTATAGCTGATGTATGTTTGTAGGCTATAGTGGGGTAGCACATATGGGGTACAGCTTTCTAGGGTTGTATTTGTACCCAATCTTTCCTTAGTCATTTCATTCCTGTTTTCCTTGCTTCACACCGACGTGTGCAGCAGATCCTCAAGCTCGTTCTCGTCCAACAGTTCCTCTATGAACGCACGTTCCCCCCTGAGTTTTTCTTCCAACGTGCGCGGACCTGCACCACGTCGGGGCCGCGGGTCATCTTCGTCGTCCTCGTCGCTCGCCGATGAATAATCGTCCTCATCCTGGTCGCCCGATCCGTCCGGCACAGACGACGGCCCGGCCTCCCCTGCATCCGTCGGCGTCGACGTTTTGCGTGGTTTCGTGAACTCCCCTATCGGCGCGGGCGGAACGTCCTTGGTGAACTTTCCCTGCGGGATTTGGGCCAGGGCGTCGAGATCGTAAAGCAGCGGCAAAGTCGACGAGGGGTTACTGGTCGGTGTACGGTCTACCGGGTTGACGTCCTCACCCTGGCTAGCGGGGTTCGGAACGTCCGTCATGTCGACATCGGCGGGGGGTGGGTTGGTTTGCGGCGGTGTCGAACGAGGCTGTCCTCTGGCCATGATACGGCGACCTAGGGCGATGGGAAGTCGGCGTGGTGAGGTCGATAAACTGCTAAATGCGTATTCTATGTCGGCGGTATCTGGCAGGTCGGGACAGCAGACAATCCTACGAGAGGTCGGCGACCACGTCTGTCTACTATCACGACGCCGACGTTACGCCTCTAGAGAAAATCCAATTGCTGGCCGTCAAGTCAGTGGTAAAAAAAAAAAAAGCAATGGCACACACAATGGCAGGCGGAATGAGCGACCATTTCGGGGACCACGGATGGGTATGGTCGTGAGCGACTCCGCACCACTTGGCGCTCCACGCAAACCCCAGTGCACGACGCCGCCATGCATGTACGCTCGTGCGGCGGCGCCGTGTCCGACGTGCCACCAGGCGTGCATGGCTGCTTGCTTGCAGCGCTTCGCTCATCATGCTCTTTTCGTGGCTGCTACACGCTGGCTCTTTCGTGCGGCAACGTGGCGTGGTCCCGAATTAGGTGCAGCTCGGTAGGTCGAGGTCGGGAGACACTGCCGTGTGGCACCACGATGATGCTCTTCTGGTCGACGCCGACATTCCCGCATCATCAGTGTCCACTGCACGTAGCCATAGATAGTGGACGGCCGGATTTCTCCTTGCGCATGTGAGCAACCGTTGGATGAATGCCATGTGGTATGCACCGACCTTGCCACGTTCATGCGCGAGATTCTCCCAAGCGAAGCACCCCGACCTTCCGTTGGCCCGTCGTGTCCAACCTGGCAGACCTCGGTGGCCCCGCCATCCAGGGGACTATCTCGGGCGTCCCTTTGTGGCCGTGTGGCGATCATCGCGGCCCGACTTGCCGAGCTGGTATTCTGACACGCGGCTGAGACGTCCTTCTCGGGATTGTCTCAGCGGAACTCTAGGTCGACAGGTCGTCGACCATCCCGAGGGCTCACCAGCACCGGGCCCAGCCAGATAGGCTGGGCTTTCCACGCGGAGGTCGTCGTGGGGTCGTCAACCACGAGGAAGGGGGTTGTCCGTTTTGAACCGCGAAAATGGGCGGCAGTTTTCGTCGGCTGAGCTATATTATGCTGAATCGCTCATCGGAATTCGGGGTGACGCACCCGTTCTGCCTGGGACGACGCAGGGGGGTGACACTCGACCGAGCGTCAGGGCGGCCACCTCCCTCGCGTGAATCCCCCGTCAGGCTGGCGCGGGGCGGGGCTCTGCCCACGCCCCCCGCCCCGGCCCCCCACCCCCAATTCCTACAGAACCCCACGTTACAACCGAGGAATGGCAAACTCGCGCGCGAGCGACGTCGGGCCTAGTAATTACGGAAAATTATCCTAAGCTGAAGACATGGTATGCAATCTTACCTCCATGATCTACACCGCACACCGTACTCTAGATGAACCTCAATAATGGATGCTTCCTGCTGATTCAGAAGTGTCTGCCATCGTGCCACAGATGACGTGGATCTGCTCCACTCGAAGATCTTTCTCTGCAGCAGCCACGGAAATCTGTGCCAGCTGTTTGTGCCGAATCCGTGGGAAGGGAAGACATGTTGACGCCAAACCACTTCCATCCGAACCACCACGTTTGGCATGACATGTCTTGGAAGCCGTTCTGACTAGGACTTCTTCGACCCTCCTGCGCAACGAAGTCACTCTGAACCTAACTTCTTGCCCAAGGCCTTGCTCCTCACTAGTTTGAACCGCTCTAGGGACGAACCAATGTCGTTCGCATCTCGGCTGTGTCACTCAAGTGAAACTCAAACGCTACCAATCTGACTCCCTAAGCAAATCTACAGATAGTGTGTACGCTCTACCTACTCAGCCATACGCTTCGTCACCATACCTACTTTCCTGATTCCCAGCCTTAGCCACATTACCAAGCTTTTGTGACACGCTTCAAGCAACAAGCTTGTTCTGTCCATCATCCTGTGTTCATTTTACGCCAGAAACGTCGCAACAGACGAGCAGTTGTCGGATTCAAGCTTGAGGCTCCCATTTTAGGTGAACACTGCTCGCTCTCCTTTCACGACCTTTTATATCTCGCTGTTATCCCACAGGTTATTAGGTGCCCAGAAGTTTATCAGGTTCTTAAAGTTATCTACGCCAGTTACCCCTCATGGCGTGCACAGTAGCAGCACTAACGCAGAGCGCGCTCAGCGCTCCCGTGGTGGCTGCGAAGGCGGAAAGCTCATCCGCGTCACAACGATTAACGGCATCTCCGCCACCTCGTTCCATCGGCAGTGGCGATGCTTCTTCTACACACCGGCCAAGGTCGACGGGAATCGCGAGGGGCAAGCCCTTTGGAGTTGAACCGCATGTTAATCTTGTATGTCCTCCCTTGCTGCCCTTCGCTCTCTCATCTACTCGTTATTTCCACCATATTAAAACGATACATCATGGTAGCGATACATCATGGTACCGTTCATCATTCTCCGTGACCGTTTCTTGATTTCGTTTCTTTCCCGAACTTTCCCTTTCGTTCGGCCGCTTTACGGCGCGGTTCGGCGGCGCAGAACGAGATAAGCGAGGAGGAGAAGGCGCGGCTGGTGGCGGCGGCGCAGAAGAAGATCGCGGCGGAGCTGAAGGAGCGCGAGGAAAAGCTCAAGCAGGACGCCGCCAGGGCGCACCTGGACCACGAGCTCAAGTTCGGCAAGATGATGTTCGACCAGGTGCGTACGCGCTGTAAGCTGTTTCGGGACGTCTTAAAGCTTTAGAATCTGAGGCTGGCGGGGCGAGAGCGCATTTGGACCACCAGCTCAAGTCCGGCAAGACTTCGACCACGTGCGTACGCGCCATAGGCTGTTCTGAGACGGATTCAGACATGAGAAGCTGAGGCAGGACGCGGCGTGAGCGTATCTGGACCAGAATTTCTGGTCCAGTCCAGATGATGTTATGTGTTGCTTTGGAACGTGATGAAACTCGATAATTTGAGGGAGAATGCGGCGAGAGCGCATCTGGATCAGGAAGTCAAGTTAGGCGAGCTGATGTTCGACCAGGTGCGTACGTGCTGTGAGCGATGACGCCACGCACAGCCGCTTTTTGCTACTCAGAACGTGTTTTGATTATGGATGGCCATATCACAACTGAACAACGCAACGATCACGTAATCTACAAGCATGCATGGTTGTTCTTTCTTACCCCTCCATTCTCCGCTCCCTTCAAAACCTCCCCCCTCCATTCACTCTCCTACACCCCACTCCGTTCCCGCTATCTTCCGATGTGCAAAGCGAATGAATGTGGAGCGAGAATGCAAGCAGAACGTAACCCACCCCCACAGTTTTCATGTGGGGAGAATGTTAGGCGCGTATGAATATTACCCCCTGGATGGAAGCGCTCGTCAAGCATGTGCCAGGATTGATGCTTCATGATCCGTTCGTTCCCAGCATTGATAGGATGGTGCCAGCATGAATCCAATGCCCTGGCATTTCACAACAAGGTGCTTAAGCAGCCTGTGTCCTTCTGCTAAGGTCCTAACTCCTGCCACATGCCCTCCCACCCGTCCATTTACCCTCCAGGGCAATTTCGAGACGGCAATGGCGCATTACAACAAGGCGCTGAAGCAGCCTGCGTGTTTTTGTTGAGTGCCCTAGATCTAGCCGTCATCCCATGTACCTTCCATATTTCCTTGCCTCCTCCAGGGCAATTTCGAGACAGCAATGGCGCATTACAACAAGGTGTTGAAGCAAGCAGGCGAGCAGTCATACCACCACGGCGAGGCCACCCTCCAGAAGGCTGCCTGCCTGGAGAAGCTCGGGCGGGAGGCCGAGGCCAAGAGCCTGTACGAGTCGCTCATCCAGTTCCGCGCGCCCTACCCCAACATCAAGCGCCGCGCCGCACAGGCTCTCTTCGGCACGGACGCGGAGGAGGCGAAAGAGACGTCGCTGTTTGATGATTATATGTACCGCATGTTCCTGTCGGGGTTTGGGCGGTATATGCCCAAGACTAAGTATGTGGAGACGAAGCAGGAGAAGATGCTGATTCAGCTGCTGCCATGGACGATTCTGGCCATGGCGCCGTTGCTGTTTGTGTGGCTCATGATTCGAGGCAACTAGCTGTTGCTGTGTGAGCTGCTCAGGAAGGAGTGTGGTATGGTGTCTAGTGACACTGAAATTGGCCTATTGTGGGCCGCATCGCTTTTGTTTATTTTATGGATTGTTGTGCTTGCTTTTGTGGATTGTTTATTACCGTATATGAGTCGGCTTGTACAGTTATCCCTTCGCAGCATTCCAGCCAGTACCGGACCACGAATAGGGAATGAGAATCGTAGGCCCTGTTCGGCTGGCGCACAACGAGGGTCCACATTTGACCCTCGAGGGATCAGAAAGGAATGCGGAGGAAATGTCCTCCTCGGCTTCGTCACTCTGAGTTGCTCCCAGACCGAGTTGCAAATTGATTCGTTGGGTGTTCCCATAACGGTTTGGGGCTTTAAATGTCCCCAAAGAAGACTCCCGATCAGGCCTCTCGTTATCAGGGTAAAATACCCTTTTTGCACTGACTGGTGGCCGCTTTTTTTCAGTTACCCTTTCACAGGCAGGGTAGTGGATTTTTTACCCTAGGCTCGAAAGTGTAAGTTTTTCAACACCCTTTGAAAAACAGCTTAAGGAACTCTTTACTCTGACTGTACAGTGTACAATCCCAGCTATACTGGTACCGAGCGCTCCGTAGCGAGACGAAACACTATACAGGCCCCTGCAAAATTGTTACTCAACGAATTCGAACGGCGACCTACTAGATTTATATCACAATTGGATCAGCTGAGCCACTAACTACAGAATTTCGGGATTTTTAAATTATTTATTAACAATATTTTTAAAAAATACCCTGCCCATACAGACTGCTGTATTTTTACCCTGCATTTGTCAGGGGAAAAAACAAATTACCCAACGCATCAGGGTTGACTATACCTAGAACCCTGATTACTAAGGGTGGCCCAAAACGAATCTGAAGCCCTGCTCCCGATCCACCCTCAGTCAGGCTTGGGTGCCTACTGAACAAGGCCTCGAATATTGTCCTGCTCAATCACTACTGCATCCTCTTGGAGAATCGAGATTCTGCCGCCCCAGCCCTTTGCACACAAGGAGCAGCAAAAAGGGAATGTCGGCGACGGATCGAAGACTTCGCGGAATATTCAGAAACTTCCGCAACCAATCAGATTTCAGCCGAAGACTCGATACAATTCAGAATTGCTCTCAACAAGAAGTGTCTACAGGTTTCTACAATCCTGAATCAGCTATATCAGAGAATTCCAGAGAATTCCTATGCATGCACCTCATGTGGCTCTCAAAGTCACCCAAGGTCCATGGAAGCAGAATTGTGCCCAAGTTCCAAGGATGTTTCCTTGCCTATCAGCCTAGTTTGAGCTTTCAATCTGTCTTGTTTGTGATGCTTAAAGAGTTATGCTTTAGTGGGCTTGTATAATCTTGAGGATAGTGAAGTTTTCTCTCATCAAGCCAAGTCCAGCAGCTCTGTTGAGCTTTTCCAGCCAAGTTTTCAGCCTTCCAGTCATCAGAGCTACTCTGTTTTACAAGTTGGTATCAGAGCCCGTCGTTTCGATCAACCGAGCGCCACCACCTTCCTATCCTAGCACAATCCGTCCATGGCGGGAGACAACCCATCTGGCCCTGCACTCCAGCCAGCCGGAGGAGCTTCAGAGTCAACATCAGGAGCTACTGGATTAGTGGAAGCAGTTGCACCAGGCAGCTCTTCAACTACATACTCACCACTCACCTGCTTCATGCCTAAGCTTCACCTCCCCAAGTTCAACGGCAAAGATTTTCCAACATGGACAACTCAGTTTGAGCTCACTGCATCCCTTCTGGATCTCTGGCCTTACTACACTGGAGAAGCAGCCAAACCAGCAGCAGATGCTTCAGAAGCTGAAAAACGACTCTACGAACGGCGCAACAAGGAGGCCTTCCTCTACCTACTCAATAGCATTCACGAGCAGCAGTTGAAGTCGCTCCTACCCTGCTCTACAAAGGCAAACAGCGCAGAGGAAGCATGGAGCCGACTGAAGTCTATGCACCAGTCAAAATCCGAGAGCAGCCAGGCCGAGATGAGGAGCCGCTTCATGAGTCTCAAGATGGAAGAAGAAGAACCAGCCCAAACCTACCTTCAACGAGCTGAAACGATGCTAGAGGAAGCAGCCGCGATCAGCTTGGAGATTCCAGAGTCTCTTTTCAAGACCGTCATCCTCACCAGCCTTACACCGGAGTGGGACACTTTCCGTGCAACACTACAAGCACTTCCGCAATCAATGAAGACCCGTGCGTTCATCTTCGAAGCCCTTGTCAACGAGCAGCAAATTCGAGACCTTGCACGAAACAAGCGGAGTGACGAGGGTGCGTGGAGTGCTGCAGCAGCTACAAGATATGGCAACCAATCCCAGAGGCAAGGAAATTTCAGCCCAAACCGCCCTCAACCTTACTATGGTACGAATTTTCAGTCACCTTCCAACCCATACAAACCCTCTCGTTTTGCTCAGTCAAGTCCTCCCTATAAGTCAAGTCCCTATGTCCAGCCAAGGCCTTCTATTCCCAATCAATATCAGCCTAGGAATGCACGAGTTAATCCGCCAAGAGTCAATAACTTCAGCCAAGCCTCGAATGCTAAAAAGTTTAATTTTGAGTGTTTTTGTTGTCATGAGTGGGGTCATCCGTGGTATGCTTGTCCTAAGAAGCCTCCTAATTGGGTTCCCCCACCTCAGCTACTATCCGAAAAGGGTAAGGCAGCCATAGCAAACATGGCAAGTCATTCTACAAGTCAAAATGAGTCCAAAGATTCTGAAGGTCGTGTCCTTTTCAACGCCGCCACTTGCATGCACGTTTTTTCTACTAGTAGTGAGGAGTTTATCCTTGATAGTGGCTGTTCTGAAACCATGACTCCCTATCAGTCCATTCTCAAGGATTTTCAGCCCTCATATGACTCAAAAGCTGTGACACTTGCTGATCTTTGCAAATTACCTATCAAAGGAGTCGGCAAGCTTGAGTTCGAAAAGGATGGTAAGTCATTTTGTGTCAATAAAGCTTTATTTGTTCCTGATTTGGGAGCAAACTTGCTCTCAGCTGGACAACTTGAAGAGAAAGGTGCCTCTGTACTCTTGCGAGGGGGGAAAGCCAAAGTGTGGGGCAGTGCAGGAAATTTGGTGGCTGAAGGCGAGCGTACCGAGCGGCTCTACAAGATGAAGTTGGAGATCAAGCGCGGTTCTAACAATACGAAGAACGACGTTGTCTCGCTTCCCGCTGTTTCAACCGGCAAAAGGAGTATCTCCCAAGCAGAGGTATGGCATGCACGCTTGGGGCACTTGGGAATGCAAGCATTGAAAGAGTTGGTGAATCACAAGAGCGCGGAAGGATTGAGTTTGAGTGAAATTGCACTCAAGTCCCTTTCTTCCGTTCCATGTCCATCTTGTGTTGAGGGTAAGCTAGCTAGAAAGCCATTTTTCCCTTCTAAGTCTCAGTCAAGGGACCTCCTAGAGTTGGTCCACACTGATGTATTCGGCCCCATGCGAGACCCTACTCGAAACGGTAAGAGATATTTGGTGTCTTTCATTGATAACAAGAGTCGTTTCTCGTGGTCATTTTTCATCAACACCAAGGATGAAGTTCACAAGTGTTTCAAGCAATGGCTAGCACTTGTTGAGAGAGAGTCAGGGAAGAAGTTACTCACCTTGAGGTTGGACCGAGGAGGTGAGTACATGGGAAAAGCATTTCAGGGGGAGTTGTTGGCATTGGGCATCAAACAACAGTTCACTTGTCCCTATAGTCCTCAGCAAAATGGAGTTGCAGAGAGGTTTCATCGCACTATTCAAGCAATAGCTACCACTATTCTTCAGTTTTAGGGCCTTGACAAGCTCTGGTGGGGTGAGGCAATCACTATGGCAATCTATGTTCGCAACAGGAGACCCACAAGGCCCCTACCGGATGGTGTAACGCCATATGAGGCTTGGTTTGGAGTTAAACCAGATCTGTCTATGCTTCGTGTTTTTGGTTCCATGACCCAATACCGTGTTCCAGATGCAAAGAGAGTCAAGCTGGACAGCAGAGCTCATTGGGGCCTCTTCATTGGCATAAGCAACGAGAGCAAGGGATGGGTCCTTTGGGATCCCGTCACCAAGCGAGAAGTGGTTTCAAGGGATGTGGTCTTCTATGAAGACATGTCCCTTGCAGATTGGCACAAGTTTTCCTCTTCCTCCTCTCTACCACCCTCTCTCCAACAGGAACCAGCAAGAGCACCTGAGGAAACAACAAAAGAGGAGGACGGAGATGACACCAATTCTGGCCATAGCGGACCCATCATCGATCTCCCGCAAGCCGTCGTCAACGAGACCAGCCGCGCCACACCAGTGCCACCAGCAGCTACTCAACCAAGTGGAGATGTGGTTCAGCCGTCAAATGAAGACAATCCACCCCAGGAAGTCACCGTTACATCACCGCCAAAGGAGCAGCAGCCAACCGTCACCAACCAGCCAGCTACTTCAACACCAACCCCGCAAGTTCAACGTCACCCGGATCAACCCACCACTACACCATCAAACCCATCACCAGCCGTCAATTCAGAGGCAACTACAGAAGCTCACCATCATCCAATGCAGCAGCAACCTACAGCTACAAGACTCCAAGTACCTACATCAGCACCATCTACGACTCTTCCTATCAACAAGCCAGCCGTCACCACCACACCTCGTTCCACCCGTTCATCACTTCAGGTTCCTGCGTCAAGCCAGCTCATAGCACGAGGATCTCTTCAGCGAGTCACCACAAATACGAGCTCCATCAGCCCACTCCTTCATCCAAGACCCTTCTCTACTTCACCCCCACGTCCCGGAATCGGCCGTCATCAACTACCGTCATCTTCAACACCGAGAACCAACGCCAATCAGACCGAACCGTCTCCAACTTTCGACAACGCAGCGTCATCATCAATTCCCAAGCCTCTAGTCTCAAGATCCCCACCAAGAGAATCTTCATAGCCAACTATGCCGACGAACATTTCAGCTTCACCGACACAAGTCACCACACCTATTCCTCAAGTCAACACCGATAATCGAGAGAGTTCCACGCCGGGAGAAGATCATGCAGTCGTGCCGCCGTCGCAGCCGATGTCGCAGCCGATGTCGTAGCCATTGTCTCAGCCGCAGATGACCATGTCAACGCATCCAACCACTGTGAGACCGAACCCTACCATTGATTTGTCTCAGCCAAGTGAGGCTTTGGGTGAAGGTAAACGAGTCCGCAAGGTAAAAAAGCCCTTCACATTCATGGTTGACATGTCATCAAGGTGCACATGTGAGGAGAGCGAGGATTGCATTCACAAGAAGGTAGAGGCAATATGCATGGTAGCGTCACACCTTCCACGAGAGCCATTGAGTCGTCGTGAGGCAGTGGCAAGTCCCGAGAGAGAGCAATGGTTGAAGGCCGAGGAAGAAGAGATTGAGAGTCTCATGAAGAGAGGTACATGGCGTCTTGTTGAGCCACCTCCAGGGAAGAAGGTAATTGGTGTCAAGTGGGTGTACAAGATTAAGGTAAAAGGTGATGGTACACTTGATAGGTACAAGGCAAGGTTAGTGGCAAAAGGTTATTCCCAAATTCCAGGTCTAGACTTCACCGAAACCTTTGCCGCAGTAGCGAAGTACACCACGGTACGAGTCCTCCTCGCCATAGCCGCATATCTTGGTCTCCATATCCATCAAATGGATGTCAAGAACGCATTTCTCTACAGTGTCTTGGAAGAAGAGGTATACATGGCACAACCCGAAGGTTATGATGATGGTACGGGTCGAGTTTGTCGCTTGGTAAAGTCCCTTTATGGTCTCAAACAGTCCCCACGGGTATGGTATCATGCTCTTGAGAAGGTACTCTTCAAGCACGGTTTCACAAGGTCCATGAGAGACAACGCGTTGTACTTCATGCACACGAGTGAGGGGGAGTACATTTGGCTCTTGGTATATGTAGATGATCTCCTCCTAGTCTCACGTTCTCTTGATATCCTCAACAAGGTGAAAGGTATTCTCATGACTGCATTCACAATGACCGATCTTGGTGAGCCGAGTCATTATCTTGGTATGAACATTGTGAGAGATCATAAGTCATGGTCCATCTTCCTATTCCAGCAAAGCTACATCCAAAAGGTCCTTGAGAGGTTTGGTCTTGATGATAGCAAGCCATCATCTACCCCACTTCCTACCAACTTTGTCCCTTTGTCTTCACATCAGCCCTATGAGGAGAGAGAGTCAAGCCTGGATATCACGGGTATTGAGGAGTTGTGTCTTGAGGAGAGTGAGCATCATGGTGAGAATTCACCCAAGGTATCCCCACAAGACCTAGCTCTCTACCAAAGTCAGGTTGGGTGTCTCATGTATGCAACCCTGTGCACAAGGCCCGACCTAGCATTCACGGTATCCAAGCTCGCTCAACACATGAGTGCCCCATCACCTATCCATATGCATGCAGCCAAGCGAGCTCTTCGGTATCTCAAAGGTACTTCTAATCATGGTCTTCTCTTCCAAGCCAACCCACATGCAAGCTCCCTCCAAGGCTTTACCGATGCAGATTGGGCGGGAGATTTGAGCACACGCAAGTCCACCGGTGGCTATATCTTCCTTATGTGCGGTGCCGCTGTTTCTTGGCAATCGCGCAAGCAAAGTTGTGTGGCGCTTTCTACAACCGAAGCTGAGTACATGGCAATGACCGAAGGAGCAAGGGAGGCAATTTGGTTACGTGGACTCTTGGAGGACTTGAGGCAGCCGCAAACTCAACCAACTCTGCTCTACGTGGACAACACTTCAGCTATCGCCCTCTCCAAGAATCCGGTTCATCATGGGCGTACAAAACACATCGAGGTGCAGTACCATTTCATTCGTGAGCAACTAGAGAAGGGAGTTCTCGCCGTCAACTTTTGTCATTCGTTCAATCAAGCGGCAGATTTCATGACCAAGGTTCTTCCATATGATGCCTTCAACATGTGCAAGGCGAGAGCTGGCCTCATGACACTTCATGAAGCAGTGCAGCAGTTTGAGGAGAATGAGGAGTATGAGGAGAAGAGACATGGGCAGCAGCATGGAGTGTATGATAAGGAGATGTGAGACGAGCATAAGCATGGGTGTATGTGTGCTTCGGGTCTGGTGCGAGGGGGAGTGTTGGAGAATCGAGATTCTGCCACCCCAGCCCTTTGCACACAAGGAGCAGCAAAAAGGGAATGTCGGCGACGGATCGAAGACTTCGCGGAATATTCAGAAACTTCCGCAACCAATCAGATTTCAGCCGAAGACTCGATACAATTCAGAATTGCTCTCAACAAGAAGTGTCTACAGGTTTCTACAGGTTTCTACAATCCTGAATCAGCTATATCAGAGAATTCTAGAGAATTCCTATGCATGCACCTCATGTGGCTCTCAAAGTCACTCAAGGTCCATGGAAGCAGAATTGTGCCCAAGTTCCAAGGATGTTTCCTTGCCTATCAGCCTAGTTTGAGCTTTCAATCTGTCTTGTTTGTGATGCTTAAAGAGTTGTGCTTTAGTGAGCTTGTATAATCTTGAGGATAAAGTTTTCTCTCATCAAGTCCAGCAGCTCTGTTGACCTCTTCCAACCAAGTTTTTGGGTTGCGTAGCAACCTTATACATTCGTTTTCACTTTTCGGTTGGCTGATGTGAACAGTGAATTTCTCTTATAAATTTTGAAAGAAATCACTGTTCACATAGCTTCCCCAAAAATGTGAAAACAAATGTTTCCAATCATTCCATAATCGTCGATAAGTACGGCGAATGGAACAATTGGAGAATTGTTCTAGCACTAAAGATGATATGGTACCGAATGACACACGAACACAAAGGACAACACAAAAAATACTACAGTACCACCAAGAAACACACATACACAAATGACCACAAAAACGATGGTGTACAAGAACCGTCGTACATGTTTTGAAGGGGATAGTAAATGCATCAATGCAACAACTGAGACTGATATGGTACGGAAGAGGCGAGCAAAGCTGCCCCACCGACGATCACAATCCCAGTTGCATACACGATACACTTAGCACCACACCCCCGAAACAAGCACAGACGATAACACATAAATGATTATGAAAACAGAAGACAACGTTTAAGAATGTTTCAAAGCGGATGCTAAATGCATCAGTGCTGCAACTGAGATTGATATGGTACGGAAGAGGCTAGCAAAGCTGCCCCACCGACGATCACAATCCGAGTTGCATTCACGAGGCACTTAGCACCACACCCTGAAGCACGCACAACACACGTATGCATATGTACGCACTCACACACATACACGCTCACACATATACAGACACACACAACGCAAAAACATACAGCTATTGTAATAAGCATGCAAGCATAATGAATCAATTTCAGCCTTGTATAAATTAATTATCTCTATCTTGTCCCCCGTTCCCCTCCCTCCCTCCCTCATTTCCCTCATCTCCCTTCTCCCCATCTCTTTTCTCCGCAAGAAACAAAGGCTGCAGCTTGGACTCCTTGCACAGGAAAGGAAAATCAGCGAATGCAACTCACTCCCTGCACAAACAAGAACAAAACCAGAGAATACAACTTGCATTAGTTGCACAAGAAAACAAAATCAGAGAATGCAGCTGAAAAACAAAGTAAGCGCAACAGAAATTCACACGCAAACTCCCACGTTCTCTCACGCGCTCCCACGCTCTCAGGGGGGAGCGGCGACGGCGGGGAGGAGGGAGAGGCAACCGCGTGGAGGGAGAGGGGACGGCGGGGAGGAGGGAGAGGCGACGGCGGGGAGGAAGGAGCGGCGACGGCGGGGAGGAAGGAGCGGCGACGGCGGGGAGGAGGGAGAGGCGACGGCGGGGAGGAGGGAGAGGCGACGGCGGGGAGGAGGGAGAGGCGACGGCGGGGAGGAGGGAGAGGCGACGGCGGGGAGGAGGGAGAGGCGACGGCGGGGAGGAGGGAGAGGCGACGGCGGGGAGGAGGGAGAGGCGACGGCGGGGAGGGGGGAGAGGCGACGGCGGGGAGGGGGGAGAGGCGACGGCGGGGAGGAGGGAGAGGCGACGGCGGGGAGGAGGGAGAGGCGACGGCGGGGAGGAGGGAGAGGCGACGGCGGGGAGGAGGGAGAGGCGACGGCGGGGAGGAGGGAGAGGCGACGGCGGGGAGGAGGGAGAGGCGAAGGCGGGGAGGGGGGAGAGGCGACGGCGGGGAGGGGGGAGAGGCGACGGCGGGGAGGGGGGAGAGGCGACGGCGGGGAGGAGGGAGAGGCGACGGCGGGGAGGAAGGAGAGGCGACGGCGGGGAGGATGGAGCGGCGACGGCGGGGAGGAGGGAGAGGCGACGGCGGGGAGGAGGGAGAGGCGACGGCGGGGAGGAGGGAGAGGCGACGGCGGGGAGGAGGGAGAGGCGACGGCGGGGAGGAGGGAGAGGCGACGGCGGGGAGGAGGGAGAGGCGAAGGCGGGGAGGGGGGAGAGGCGACGGCGGGGAGGGGGGAGAGGCGACGGCGGGGAGGGGGGAGAGGCGACGGCGGGGAGGAGGGAGAGGCGACGGCGGGGAGGAAGGAGAGGCGACGGCGGGGAGGATGGAGCGGCGACGGCGGGGAGGAGGGAGAGGCGACGGCGGGGAGGAGGGAGAGGCAACGGCGGGGAGGAGGGAGAGGCGACGGCGGGGAGGAGGGAGAGGCGACGGCGGGGAGGAGGGAGAGGCGACGGCGGTGAGGAGGGAGAGGCGACGGCGGGGAGGAGGGAGAGGCGACGACGGGGAGGAGGGAGAGGCGACGGCGGGGAGGAGGGAGAGGCGACGGCGGGGAGGAGGGAGAGGCGACGGCGGGGAGGAGGGAGAGGCGACGGCGGGGAGGAGGGAGAGGCGACGGCGGGGAGGAGGGAGAGGCGACGGCGGGGAGGAGGGAGAGGCGACGGCGGGGAGGAGGGAGAGGCGACATCGGGGAGGAGGGAGAGGCGACGGAGGGGAGGTAAGGAAGAGGAGATCGCGGTGTGGGGCTGAGTGACTGTGAGGTGAATAGGAGAGGTGAAGGTGGGTAGTGAGGGAGAGGATACGGCGGGATAGGAGCAAGAGCGACGGCTGGGTGGGAGAACTGGCGAGAAATTGGGGTGGGGGGAAGGAAGAGGAATAAGAGCAGAGCAGGTGTGCTTGTCGAGTCGAGAGGAACCAGAAAACAAGAACCAAGAAAAGAGCGCAGAAATTGAGTTGGCAGTTGTGAAAGGGACGGATGCCAGCGCAGAGATGAAATTTCTGCCAGCGCAGAACAAGACAATTTCTGCCACCGCAGAACGATACAATTTCTGCCAGCGCAGAACGAAGCACCATATACAGTATACCGTTTTAAGTTAATAATTGGTCTAGTCGTAATTGTAACACACATACGGATATGCGTTATGAGAAAAACCAATTACAGATGGGGAGATCATACATGGAGATCAGTCCGCTCATATCGAGTTTCCAGCACCTACGCAACCCATACGACGTTGAACGTCTTGTCAACCTTCCAGTCATCAGAGCTACTCTGTTTTACAAGTCATCCGCCATTTTAGGTCTCCACTTCAGGGATCCAGGGCGGTGTAATCGACCACAGTAGGCATAACATCGTGGGTAGTGGACCACGTTTCTGGGTCGTGGGGCTTTATCGAGCATATGGGCCCTTGATTGGCTATATCCACGCCGTCCACAGGACAGTACTGTAGATATCCCGTCACGCTTGGCGCGCGGGAAATCGCGGAGACAGTTCCAGCCGAAAGGGTATTGAGAGAGACACCTACCTCCACGCGCAGGTGAAGTCCTATTTCCAGTTCAGAGGGCGAGGTTTGGATTGAACCCGCCCATTTCGCGAAACTTGATGACAAGGGAAGGGATTTGAAGTGACGTGCAGCCCGCATTCAGCTCGATGGGCGAACATGCTTTGCCTTGCGGAACGCGTTCGCTCTCCTTCATCTCCTCGCCTCTTATTTTTACAATCCTCCCTTGGTCGCATTCACGACATTCCCGGCGCGAGTCCCATTCCCACCGTCCTCCCCGCGTGTACCGCCCCGTCCTCCCCGCGTGTACCGCCCCGTCCTCCCCGCGTGTACCGCCCCGTCCTCCCCGCGTGTACCGCCCCGTCCTCCCCGCGTGTACCGCCCCGTCCTCCCCGCGTGTACCACCCCGTCCTCCCCGCGTGTACCACCCCGTCCTCCCCGCGTGTACCACCCCGTCCTCCCCATGCCGCAAACTCCCATCCACACACGCCCTGCCGCCTTCTCCCATCCGTATGCGCATCCGTATTTCCTACCTCAACCCCCCGCTTTCATTCTCCCTTCCTCGTGCTCCCCCTTTCAGTCTCCGTGCCTGTGGTTCCCCCCTGATATTCCCTACCGTGTGCTACCTTGATAATATTTCCTACCTCAACGCCCCCCTTTCATTCTCCCTTCCTCGTGCCCCCCCTGTCAGTCGCCGTGCCTGTGGTTCTTCGTGGTGCTCGTTTTGAGTGGGCGACGGTAGCTCATCACATGGCGACCTTTGGCATCGAGGCGCAAGAGTAAGTTGCCTTGCCCTTGTGCGTCCTTGTGCGCCCTTCCGCGCCCTTGTGCGCCCAAATTCGCAAGCTGCGTGTCACTCACCCCTCCCGCTTTCCCCCCCCACCCCACCATAACATCCCTTTCATCCCCGTTACAGTGTAGTTCGCATCATCCTACAGTTCTGCAAGGAGAACGCGCTGCAGCAGACGCTACAGGCGCTGCAGGACGAGTGCCAGGTGCCGCTCAACACGGTCGACTCCCTGGAGACCTTCGCCGCTGACGTCAGTAACGGCCGCTGGGACGCCGTGCTCCCGCAGGTGGCCCAGCTGAAGCTTCCGAGAAAGAAGCTGGAGGACCTGTACGAGCAGGTGGGACCTGTGCGAGCAGGTGGGGCTGGTCTGCTCTAACTGTGGTGAGGCTGGTCTGCTCTTAATGTGCTGTTCGAGAAGGCGGGTGGGTGAGAATGAGTGAGTGAGAGGTGTGTGTGTGTGTGTGTGCCATGCCAGGTACTGGGATTGCGGGAAGTGCACAGGGACAGTGCTTGATCACCGGGTGCAATACATTTTAATCGTTGCTTTCTCGTCCACCAAATGCCACCTCTCTCCACCTCTATCCACCACCTCTTTCCACGTCACTTCACTGCACTCTACTCCATTCCACCTGGCCCATGACCCCCTGGGCGGCATGTCATTTTGGAGCTGGCGGAGCTGAGTGAGACGGAGACGACCAATTCTATTTCCAGACAGACGCCCACCATGCCCGACCTTGTCCCACCTCTCTCCACCGCACTGCACCGCACTCCACCTGCCGCATGCAGATCATTTTGGAGCTGGCGGAGTTGAGGGAGACGGAGACGGCCAAGTCCATCCTCAGACAGACGCCCACCATGCTCGCCATGCGCCAGGTGCGCCTTGCTGTGTGTGTGCTGCGTGATGCCATGCCATGCCATGCTGGTCTGTTGCGTGATGCCATGCCATGCCATGCTGGTGTGTGCTCACCATGCTCGCCATGCGCCAGGTGGGTGGGTGTGTGCGCACATGCCGCGCCATGCGCCATGTGGGTCACATGCTAGCACGCTGGTGCAATGGTTGTATGCATGTACGTATGTGCTGGACAGACACCCGCATGCCAGTACCCTGTCTCTACTGCAACCCATTCCACCGTGACCCCATGTGCTTCCACTGCAACCCCACGACCCGGTTCCAACGCCCCGCCCCGTCCCCCCTCCCCCACTGGGCCGGCGCACCAGGACCAACCAGACCGCTATCTGAAGCTGGACCATCTGCTGGCGGGGGTAGACTATCCCGTGTGACTTCTCTTCTGGTTTTGCTCCCCGTACCTACCACGGTACCCCCCCTCCCCCTCTCCGCCCGCCCACCAGGACCAACCAGACCGCTATCTGAAGCTGGACCATCTGCTGGCGCGGGCATACTTCGACCCCCGCGAGGTGAGCTCGTGCCTCTTGTCTCGTGCCTCTTGTCTCTCGCCTCTCGCCTCTTGCCTCTCTCCTCTCGCCTCTCTCCTCTCTCCTCTCGCCTCTCGCCTCTTGTTTCTCCGTCACTCATTCCTTGCTCTCGTCACGTCACATGGCAACGAGGTGTATGTAAGTCCAGTGTTTCTGTTGCCGTGGTGGTGATTGCATTGCAGGCATACGGGGATTCCACCAAGGAGAGGAGACGAGCAGAGATCGCACATGGTGAGAGGGGCCTGAGATGGTGAGAGGGGCCTGAGATGGTGAGAGGGGCCTGAGATGGTGAGAGGGGCCTGAGATGGAATGGGTAACATGTGCACGCATGGTGGCAATAGTGGCAATAGTGCCATGGTATGCATGATAGGAGCTTGTGGAATGCGAGGAAGGGGCGATGAGAAAAAATCAGCCTATGGCTGAAGTGCATCGCAGTGCATCGCACTGCATCGCATTGCATCAGATTTCTGCTGCTGGTTTACCCCCCTACCCCTCCCTGTATCCACCATATTGCTGTCATGGTGTCTGTCTGTCCCTTGGCACCCCTTCCTCTCCTCTCCACACCTCGTTCCACCGGAGTTCATTCTCTGGCCCTCTCCTCTCGTCTCCTCCCATGCTCTCTGCTCCCCTCCTCTCCTCACCTCTCCTCTCCTCTCCTCTCCTCTACTCTCCTCTCCTCTCCTCTCCTCTCATGCTCTCTGCTTCCCTTCTCTTCTCTCCTATCATCCTCTCCTCTCCTCTTCTCTCCTCTCCTCTCCTCTCCTCTCCACCCTCTCCACTCATGCCCTCCTCTCATCTTCTACCCACTTCTTCCTTCTCCACTGTTTTATTCTTCCTCCTTCGCCCCACCTCTCGATCTTCTCACCGTCCCACCTCCCCTCTGCCCACCTGCCCACCTTGTCGGAGTTCTTCCCTTCTCCTTCCTCACTCCTCCCTTGCCCCTGCCTCGTCCCTGCCTTGTGTCCTCACCTTCTTCCCTTCCTTCTTATTCTCGCCTTTCCCCACCTTGTGCTGTCCCCACTCCTGTTCCCCTGTTCCCTTCTGCGTTCTCAGCCACTACCATGAGACGTTTACTCTCCCACACGATGGCTGCCCACAGTGGCGTAGTCACCTAGCTAGCGTAGCCTTGTTGCGGTAACGTTATCCACTATATGAGGCAAACAAGACGAGAGAACAGGTTTGCTATGCTAGGCTAGGCTATTTGTGCTTGGCTGCCCAGTCGCGAGTAACTCAGCGTGCTGGGTTGAGCTCGAGCCGCCTAGGCCTTGGAGTGGCCCTCGCCAGATTGCCTGTCTCCCGAGGTTCCTGAAATTGTCCCCGAAGCGCCCTGTAACCCCCAGTGCTACCAACTTCTCACTACTCTCTATAACCCAACTACCCCACATGCAGATTGAATAACACTCGCTACACCACTTCTACGCCCAATTAGCATATGTCTCCAATATGATGCTCTTACCATTATATTTGGTGACAGTTGTCGGAGTTCTTCCCTTCTCCTTCCTCACTCCTCCCTTGCCCCTGCCTCGTCCCTGCCTTGTGTCCTCACCTTCTTCCCTTCCTTCTTATTCTCGCCTTTCCCCACCTTGTGCTGTCCCCACTCCTGTTACCCTGTTCCCTTCTGCGTTCTCAGCCACTACCTGCCCCCTCCTGTGCTCGTGCTCGAGCTGCTGGGGCGCGAGTCACAGGACTCTCAGCTGAGGACGGCTGCTCTTCAGTCCTGCCGTGCGGGTCTGGTGGTCCCCGGTCTGTTCTCCCTTCTTCTTCTCCAACACTAGCACTCCCACGCCTCGCACTGCTTGCGCCCTCCCCTTCACTCTTCCCTATTCCACAGCTAGTGTATCCTTCTTTGCCCCTCTCTTCCCGTCCCACCTCTATAGCCGCCTTTATCCCCTTGCCTTCCTGCTGCTGCCACTTCTCACAGCAGCACGCATCCCTCAACTGCACGGTATGTAGGTCGTCCACCGCCACCGGTATCACCTCCTGCAAGTATTCCGCTGCCTTAGCTCGCTCCCATGCCGCCCGGTTCTCCGCCTCTTCCATTGTATGGTCTACCTTTTCCCCTGTTGCTAGGGGCTCCCATGCCCCCACTTCCTTACTCTCCCGCTCTGCTTCCCCCAGCAGCTCTGGCCTTCCTCCCCGCAGCTTCCTCACATGCCGCTCCGCCAGCTTGTTTCCCTGCGCTTGCATCCAATCCTTCATCGTCACACCAGTCTTCGCCCCTGCCCCGATTTCCCCGAACAACTCTGCTGTCTTCAGCGATGGCTGCCAACCATTCCCTCCCATGTCTGTACTGCTCAGCCCCGTCTTCCCTCCTTTCTTCACCGCTCCCTCCTTCTCGCCCTTCCCTTCCGCTTCTTCTGCTGCTGGTACACACGCCCTTGCCCCCGCCTCTTCGTCCCTCTCCTC